TAAACACGTAAAACACATCTACATAGAAAGTAACAAAAACTACAATAACTTAAGAAATAGATATGTTTAAAGTCAAGGGCACCCAACGGAATATTTCGGTAAAATATCTGTTCGGATGGAAGGTTACCTAAAAATTTCGAAATTTTTTTCCCAGCGACGCTCTAGACTTTTCAAATGTTTTCGGAAAACCATAAAGTTTCCTTAGAATTTTCGGCATGATGTGCTCACTTTTATCATGTCCCATTATTTTCGGACGGTTTTCTTTGTTCTCTAAAGTTTTCGTCTGGCGTAATTATTCCAAAAGCTGCTAAAAGTTTCCGTAAGCATTAGAGGTAATCAGGAATGTACATGAACCTAATGAAAGATAAGGGCGATTGAGCTCGGCATTAGCCTACTTATCAGATTATCGGAGAAGTTATTTTTGTGGTTTGAGCATCTAAAACGATCAAATTATTCAGTTTTGACCGTAAAAAGATTCCTACGCCAACAACAATCCCTTGATCGGTTCAGAAACGCTCGTAAACCTAGAAAAGGTGTTTCTCCTTGTACAGTATATGCAGTGTTTCGTCACCAAATGTGAGATCAGAACGGAAATATAAAGAAAAGCCTAAGTTTTCAGCTTTGCTTCTTTCTAAATGCCAGCAGTGCGTGCCTATTATGTATTATCACGTCGCCTTCCTCGCCACGTTAATGAAAGCCATATATGCAGGATTCATCTTTGCTTCGTTTGTTTGACCCTGTTTACACCTATTATTTGTCAGCTCTCCAAAAACCTTGAACTTTTTTAAGCCCTGAATTTAATTGAAGGCCGGGACCTCAGTAGCTTGTTCAATAAAAGAGATGGATGTCTAGCCTGCTCCAGTTTCAGAGTTTGTGGAAGCCAGTTAGCCGTCATGTCAGCGTGTGTCCTGATTTGAACCATGAGGATAAACGAACCTTGGGGTTTTCGAGTTATTCCCCTGCCTTTGAGGACTCTGTACTCGCTGATCTTCCATTCTGAGGACACCTAAACATTGATTTGTAATTTCCTTTCTATTTCAAATCTCAAAGCAGTAATTTCTCCATGTTAGCCTTTGAAGTTTGTAGACGCGCCATTATTGTTACCTACCAGTTCCCAGCGGCCAAAAAATGTTCACATGAGGTCGACGCCATTTGTGCCACGCAGCCAGCCAGCCAGTCCAAGATGGCGTCCAAACCCTGTAATCATCTGGCATCGCGGAAAACCCGCGGGAATGACCCGATTAGTATGCGTTCTCCTATCGTCGAACGCAATTAAGTACTTGCTAACCTACAATGTGTGTGTGGCTTGCTTCAGCCGTGCTGGGGAATTTTCGCCCTGTGTTGTTCTGAATGGGGTTCGCTGTGCTCGGTTCGTACTGACAGGACCTCAGGCAATGTTCGTCAGTACGGCCCTCGCACTAGGTTATTAAGAGGTGAATACTGAAAATAATTTTTAGGCTATCCCATAGGCCCTCCACATTATATTTACAAATGCTGCGTTACATTGTTTTGTAGGAACAAAGAAGATTTTTTTTTAATTACTTTGGTTCTTATTTTCAAAGGCTCCTTTGTTCAACGCAGGCCACCTTTATCAATGGAACACAATCAGTTGCCATTTCCTGCATGCAGTCAGACTCCAGTTGAAACTTCTCAGACACAAAGTCATCATCCTCGGAGTGAGTAGGAAATTTTTTAATATGTAGCCAAAACAAATAACGACTTCAAACAGGTACATGTAGTTATAGCTACTCACCTCACTGCATAACTGAGATTCTGATTGATAGAAAAGAAATATCTTGTCAATATCTTGTAATCCATTGGACCAATTTTTAACAGTGTCGATGTAGAGCAGTGTTGTTCCCAGACAGAATTCAAGAGCTTTGTAAACAAAAAGGTTTGAAGTTATGTCACTTC